GCCGAAACTGAGGCCTATTTTGAAGCAAAGGACAAATCGTACTACAAAAATGGTATCGAAAAGTTGGAGGATCGCTATAATCAGTGTATCACCCTTGAAGGGAATTATGTTGAATAAAAAAAACGAATTTTGCAAAAAAAATGTGTTTTACTATTTTAGGCCGGGGATTTTTCAATTGACCTGTTAAAATCAGATATTCAAAGTTAAGTACGTCTCTATAAATAATGGAATTTATTGCTTTCCTAAATTTAAGAAAAAGAATATAGAAAGGTCTGAAAGAACTGTTAGATCCATGAGTTTTGTCAGCAGCTGATGCGGCTGACATCTTTAAATTTCGAAGTGCAATCTCGGTACACGTTGTATCTGTGAAGATAGCCGTAGTTACAGACGAAACGTTTCGGTCTGACAATTGGTCCAGACCACGGCCCTTAACTCCGTATCATAATTCTACCTTAAAAAGGAAAGTTTGATGGAAATTCGGTTGACTAAGTAAATTTCAGAAAAGTCCACAGATTTATAGCGTACACACGTCGATTTCAGAAACTTGGGAAAATAATAATTTCAAATTCCTTTTCGTAAAACCAAACAAGTTAGAATGCGGATTTTGCTTCGATAATATTTTGCATATCTCTATATTGAACGTAAGCAGCCTTCCCCTTTCTTTATTCTTACACAAGACGTCTTAAAGTTTAAATGGAATTTAAATGCCTGTTTGGTGTATCTGTAACGCCAACTGTATTCAATCATAAGAAGCGAGCAAATGGTGCATCAGTTTCATGCAGATGATAATATTATATGTACGGGGTGTTCGATTAAAAAAATAATATCTGATATTTAATAGAGCACAGAATATGAGGCAACCTATTATTGAAATGCAAACTGAGAAACTGAACAATACATAATGTAAAAATTATGTGTGTTGGAGTTAGTTTTATGTTTATAAAAGTTAGGGGGGTGGATATTTGTCCATCAGACGTAGCCACGGTCAAAGGATAGTTGTATGTTAGTTTCTAATTATGAGGTAAATCTTATTGCAGGTAAAAAAGCGCAAAATAGATAAAAAATATAAAATTGAAGTGTGGAAAATACTTTAATTTCGGCGATTTTATTTGGAGTTCACACAGACGTGAATAAATTCCCCTAATTATGGATTTTGTCACTTTTACATAATTCACTCTCCCTTAAGAGCCATTCTATCTGGAATATTTTGCGCTGATTGGCATCGATGTGCTGATCTTTCTATATATTAGCTACCCTAATAATTGGAAATGAGTGAAAATCGTTTTCAGGATCATTCCCGAGAACAATACGATTAAAACCTCAGAACCGTCCAAACAAAAGATATAACAAAAAGAAAAATAAGATGAGGTATCAAGTTCCATTTCGTGTCGTGAAGTTTGAGGGATATAAATGAGATTTAATTTTGTGCGAAAGAGGAAATTGTTCAAATTTCTAAAGCGTCTTATGTTTTTAAAAGTGTCAGTGAATAATGCGAATCTTTTTTCTTGCTGTTCAACTTTTAATTACGTTCTCGAGTTCTCACGCTAAATGGAATAAGTTTTCCGGATTCGTAAATTATTCCACTCTCTCAGAAAACGCTCATTCGAGTAACTGCTCAACTAACATTACAAATCGAAGTGTTGGTACATTTTTAAACGTTTTTCAAACCGTACAACACATCTAACCCATTCCGTTTATCTTGTTCTACAATTTCGTTACATAATATGTAAATAACTACTAACAGGAAGCACCTACCTTGCGAGACGATCAGTTGTCACCTCTCTCCTGTCGATTGAAAAGTCTCCATTCATTTGACATCTGAAAAAATGAAAATTTCGTTTATAATATTAATAGAAAGCGACCTGTAAGTATGGAAGAATAATACATCATTTATGAGTAATTGAATAATTCATCTCTAAATTTTGGTATCACCAAAAAATAAAAAACTCGCTTGTTTATTTTTATTTCCTGAGATAAATAGGGATGTTATTGGTTTTGATGATGTTATGCACAAAGAAACAAATTTCTAATATTTGTCTCTACTTGCACCTAATAAAACTNAGAAACAAATTTCTAGTATTTGTCTCTACTTGCACCTAATAAAACTCTTGTTAAAGGGAAAATGATTGTTAAATAAAAATTAAATCATAACTGTAAGACTTCTTCAAAAGTAAGTGCGTTTATTAAATATAAGTATGGATACTTATAATTTTGTTGTGTACAATAAAACACTTGAAACAGTACGACGCCTTGTTTTGTTTTTTAAATGATATCGGTGTTCGGATACCGAATATCTGTGTTGGGCCCATCCTCAGGGATAGAACACATTTAATTTAAGAGCATCATCAAGTGTATCATTGTCGATATGTAGGTGTGCAACCTGTCACCGCAATGCACCGATTCCTATCGCAGACGGCTTTGTCGACAAATGAATAAGTCACACAAAAGATCCGCACGTGTGCTTATAAATGAAATGTCAAACTGCCAGCGGGCGTCTCGACGTTCGCCGGAACAAAACAAAGTAGTCTCGGGGACCCTTGTGTGCTCGAGGCAGATATGCCACCCCGTCCCCGATCCTCTCAGCCACTGCCACCGTCGGTCGTCGTCACCACCGTCGTTTCCATTCGTCCCTTAAAACCGCCACCGACGACGCTTCAGATTTGTTAGGAAAGGCCGATGGTAAAGAATGGCATTTCCGATTTTTGCTTAAAAAGATTTGTTGCTGTTGACTTTTCCCGCTACTGGCTCGGAATCACTTTGAATTGTTCCCCATATTTCACTACCCATAGCGAGACTTAAGCTGTCCTTATGTCTGCTTTAATGTATAGTAAAACTTACCCGTATAGCTACGTGTATTACATTTTTCTAAACGCATAAATCAAAGATCCGCGCGACATAGCGCTCAAGGAATTCCTGTGACGCCCGGTACGCACTATCAAACCAGAAGGAAGCACTTTTTTTTTTAATATTAGGTGATAAGGGTTTATGGTTTTCTCATTTATTATGAAAATAATAAAACTTACCCGTATAGCTACGTGTATTACATTTTTCTAAACGCATAAATCAAAGATCCGCGCGACATAGCGCTCAAGGAATTCCTGTGACGCCCGGTACGCACTATCAAACCAGAAGGAAGCACTTTTTTTTTAATATTAGGTGATAAGGGTTTACGGGTTTATTTATGGTTTTCTCATGTATTATGAAAATAATAAAAGGTGCAAGAAATGGCAAAATTTATGTATTACAGCTTTTCAAAACTTAGCTTTCAAACTTTGAAAATGGTTTAAAATAACCCAGTTATGAAAAATCTACGTTAAA